ATACCGGCTTAGAGCTCTAGACATACTCAAGAAGGCAAAAAAGTGTACATTCCCGAGGATGCGCAGTAGGAGAGTGAATTGTGAGCAAAATTTGGTTGACTATTCCAATATCAGCGCTATTATATTATATGTGCAAGAAGGTGCATAGAGAACAAAATTCGATTGGTTGCTTCCAGTATTACTATCGCCATCATGCACAATAATACATCTTGTATTCTAGACATGTGTATTTAAAACTTAATAATATTCGATTTTTTTTTTATTAATAATAATTATTAAAATATTTATGTTAATAATCGTAAATTTTTATTTGTCGGTAATGTTATCGTTCTTCAATTATCCCTGGATCCTTTTGGGTCCCATAATAGTCAAGAAAATTTGTCAAGGACCAACAGTCTTTAATAGTATCTCGTCTAAGCCGAAATGCCGACAGTCTTCCTATTGACTATTTGGACTGCCATTTCGATTTAGAGAGCATTTATATTGACCGTATATGTAACCTACTACGTGTTATTCTAGTTGAGACGATTTAATTGGTTGATGCATTGTATTTACGCAAGTTACTACATATGAAAGCAGCCATAGGGTGCGGTCGAGTTACCGCTACGAATGCTTCGAAGCATTTGATTAACTAATCAGAAGAAAGAATTTGACTAACTCACTAATTGACCAATAATCAAATAATAAAAAAAATAAAGGTTTCGAAGCATTCGTAGCGGCAACTTGATCACATCCTAAAAGTATATTTACATGCAAGCATCAAGGCCTATGACTGGTATTCATAGTCAGATCTTATATTCAAGACCATTTTAAGTATGGTCTTAAGAAGTCACGAACCAATTAGAAGGCTGCATTAGCATTTTAAAACATTACCTAAAACAAGAAATTCTTAAAATAAGAATCGACTATGAATACCGACCTATGTATTCGCATCCAGCCACAGAATATGTAAATATAGATCTGTTCGCGTGACATAAATCCCCAATATTTTTGCACTTGAAATGAGAAATAGATATATACATTTGGCCTTGAAAAGAGAAAGTGCAAGTGTGAACAGATAGCGCATAGCTCATATCGCATTGAAAGACAGATTTCCTAACCTAACTGATCAACATTAACAATTAATTATTAATATCTCACTTCGCGAGACAGAGCGTCGCTTTATTTCTATCTATATAGGCTTGTTCACTTCATGTAATTAATATCTCGCTTCGTGCAAACAAAGATCACTAAAGTTCTTCTTCTTAAGATTCCCCTGCTTAGTTTTCCGACTCAACATAGATAGAGAGTCACAATACTACACTGAGGTTCCTTATTGACAATACATCTCATTATTGGTTCATCGATTTAGTTCCTAAATTCAGTAGACATCCAATCAAAGAATGCATACAACAAGAACTCATTCCTAACCAATCAAAAACTTATGTTAACGAAAATATTTTATTTAATAACAATACAATTAATGATAATTATGTGCTATAAACCAAGCTTGATCAATAAGAAGTCTATAATCAAAAATTGATAAGAATATATATTTTAATTATGGATATTATCGATCCGCCTCAGTGAAATGCATATTCCCTCCATTTTCGCAACCTTTCGGTTAGCAGCAGTCGGGAGTAAAAAATTGAGTGTGTAAATAATATATGAAATCCACAAAATTATATAGTAAAATTTCAGTAAAATCTGCTGCTATAACGCCTACCAGAAAAGAAAGCAGTAAATTATAGTTCTACTCATACAACACAGAAAGATTGCAAAATGATTGCAGATATGTCTTATTGCAATGTTGTAATATTGCAAATAGACTACGGAATATATTTACAACACAGTTACAATGTCATGAAAATGTCTGCCTTTAGCAAGATGTAATGTCGTAATAATATTGCAGCGCAATATAATGGCAACTATTTTTAAAAATAATTTTTTTATTATTACTGAATATTATATAATTTGAAATATAATTTGTGATATAAATAAGTGCAGAAAAAGAACTAATCAATATATATTTTACATTATATATAATTTTATACAT